ATTTTTTAAATATGTATTATTATACACAGAATGTTATACCAAATAATTAGTAGAAAATTAATTTTGTTCTTCTCTCCTTTCTGTCCTCTCTTTCCGAAAATCGTAGACACACTTAGCCGATTTTGAGAAATACGAATAACTTTGGCGATTGAAATAAACTGTGATTTTTTTGTGAGTCGAGATAAATCGAGAGAGACGTCGCTCTTCTTGTGCTTTGACGCCGGATATATAATTTACGACGCATTAGAGATTCTGAAAAATTATATGCCGCGATTTCTCTTACCGGAAGTACGGTGCACGAAGCTACGACGGCGGCTGCGTGTGCGGCTCGTTTGGACAAGCAAAGCGCCGCCCCTGTGCGACTGCGTATCGTCGTTCTCTGGACAAGGAGACGAGAAGGAAAGAAAAAAGAGCCAGCCTTGCTCTCTCCCTCTCTCTATCTGTCTATCTATCTATCTATCTCTCTCGAGGGATGCGCTCTGTTGGCCGTGCGCAGAAAAAGAGTGACGCATAATTTTTGTGATCTTCAACGGAGCCCTCGTTGCAGATTTGGAACTCGAAAAAAGACAACCTGTCTTTCTAGGGGATGCAAGTCTACCGGAAATAAAAATGGTTATTGCCTGTGTCTCGATTCGCGATTGGTCCATGGAAAAGATCGAGGGAGTCAACCAGAGTCGCGGATGGCTCCCTTCTCTTACTTGGATACTGAAATTGCTTCCCCTCGACCGGTTTGGAATGGTTTTCTTCCCTGTGCTCTTCGACGCAAATAAATCAAGCCTCTTGAAAAAACACCGCGAGAGTTTGTTGCGAGCTGATATATGAACGCCTGATTCATTATGCGTCGCTGAGATGAAGTATGTGTTAATGAAGAGAAGGCGACCTCCTTCTCTCCACGTGGAGAACATTTATTTCTACGATACGTACTTAATATAGATATAGATCGTTAAATTAATTAATTTAATAAAATTTAGTTTTAATAAATTATTGAAATATTAGCTCTACTTAATTAAGCTTTAAAGTTGTACTTGTTGGAATTTATGCATATATGTTTTTTATCTCAATCGTCATTTTAATTAAGATTTACTTAAAAATTATTTTAATAATTAAAACTCTATACGATGTACATATATTTCGCAAAGAAAAAAAATATAGGCATATATAAATGAATATCATATATATAGAAACTTAAAAAAGAAAAATAATGAAAATAAAAGTATACCGCTAGTAAGTATCGTTTTTTCAACAGCTGCGACATACATCATTTTATTATCATTTCTTTCGTAGCGTTTGGCCTGCCGTAGCTGGCAGCTGCTTTGCGACCGATGAAGTGCTACGATCACCATTTTTGAAAAAAGTGCGAAGAGAAGCGGAGGAAAGATCTCGGGTCCATACAGCTCTCTTTCTTTCTCCTTTTCTTCGTCTTCCTCCCTCGACCGAATTTCATCGGAAATTCTCAACCGCTCAGGTTAACACCGCGAGAAAGCGCTTGTGGCCATAGACACGCCCCCGCCGAACAGGAAATTAGCTGCCGACAGGCGGTTCGAATTATAAATTTCTAGGGAGAGTCCATAGGAAAGAGAGAGAGAGAGAGAGAGAGAGAGGGAGGGGGAGAATACACTTTCTTTCGTTTCTTCCGCTACGTCTGATTCCGTTTTATCGAAAACTTCAAACAGACCGATTGTTTTCTTTGCGGCCATTCGGTCTTTTATTTCTTTATTTTTTCCCTGTTTATTTATATTCTTTTTCTCGAATTTAATTTATATTTAATCCTATACAAGAGAGAATTGATAAATAGAAATAATATAAAATTAAATGTCTCATGTTTTTATAGACATTTATTTCTAACTTTACAAAACAAATTTCCATTAGATCTTCTAATTCATTTGTATTTTTTGCAGTCATCAAATCCTTATATTGTAAAGGACGATCGAATTCAAACTCGTCAAAGAATTTACGAACGCGGACAAAGGTCAAAGGGCCGATGTAACGGCCCGGAATATACTTTGTGTATCTTGTGTGCGGGAAGAGCGCCGACGATTCGCTCTGTCAATCCTTGTACAACAGCAAAGCCTGAAGACGATGCGCGGGCCTCTTTTTACGCATAGGTAGGAGACTACAAAGTGCGCGCGTCAGACCAGATGTCGGTCGAGCGGTCGTCTTTATGGCTGTCAAGTCATACGTGGACCACGACGACGACGAGAACGACGGACGGATAGTGAAAAGGAGCATTACGACAAACGCAAACGAAAGGATAAATGGAATCTACGGTGACGCAAAACGTCGCGACTCGTCGCGTCGTCACGTCGTCACGTCGTCACTACCGTATCGTCTGTTTCCTAGACTTATACATATATGCCAATCGGTGATTTATAAGAAATATGGACGAGTTGAAGGAAAATAACGGCGATTTATCGTGGAATACGTAAGTAGGAAAAAAATTATGTAAAAGTTCTCTGGCGTAATTATAAGATCTTACATTTTTTTCTTTGTCTTGTGTAAGACAACAATTTAATGTGGCAAGACTAATTAAAACGGAAAAAAGAAAAGATACTCACAAGAGATAGAATGCATGTATATATGCATTTACTTTCTCAAATGTGGGTCCATTAAATAAGCGAAATAAATGGAGATGGTGTGTTTTTTGGCTTACTACTTTATACGCAGCCAAACTATTATATTGGTAGTAATATTGATTCATATATCTATGCGTCACAACTATTGATATATGTAAGTATCCTTATGTGATACACAAAGGATGCAATTCGATCATGTCGAATGGAATGTTAAAAGAAATGACACTCACATACATTTTTTTAATATATTAATTAGATCTCTGACAAACTGTTTATTTCAATGTAATAAGGAAAATATAATTGAAATAGAAAAACAAGAAATAAGAAATAAATTCTGGACTATTTTTTAATAATAAAAGAATGCATTCCGACATGCATTCATTGCATTCAATGTTATTTATTTTAAAAATGAATAGAATCTATAAATATTAAATGAATTACGCTAAATGGATTATTAAAAATGTATAATTTCAAGAAAATACATAAGAAGGTACATATCTTCGCGGAGTTTATGAAATTCCATTGCAAAGACGAGGAGAGAAGAGCGAAACGTCGTGTGAACCGGATCCTATGTCGCCGCCAGCTGTCAAGCCGAGATGTCATATCTTCTCTCATCTCGTATACAGCCCTAATGTCTTCCCGCGGTATTGCACGAGACACACCGAATGACAAAGACGGTACTTTTAAACTACAACATCAGTTTTTATACAATTCGCCATGTTTGAGAAAAACCTGCACGTTAACGCTATGCAGAAGACAAATGCATTTTAATATGGAAATTAAAGTTACAAATTTTTATTTTTTAAGATAAAAAAAAATTCTTTTAAATATATTATTTATTAAACTCTAATAATATTTTTATGTGCAATTTGGATTCAATATATTTCTTATAATTTACACACTCTTTGCAGAAGTGAAAAAAGTGGGTTACTACAAGTGGAAGGAAAGAGATTAAGTCGAAGACTTGAGAAAAAAAGCGTAGTAGCCCCATCGTATATACATTTATGGAACGCATCTTTGGAGATAGTATTCATCAAGGAAGTCCGTTGCGCGTCATCGAGGTACCATAAAAAAATGTTTATAAAAAAGCTATTCAATCTTCCCACGTGCGTGGGAAGTTACTACTGTTAAATATGTCATCCTATTGTATAATTTCTTATAGAAAACTAGATTGCAAAGATTTATATCTATTTTACATTGAACTTCCTTACTGATTTTTTTTTTTTTCTGTTCATTTTAATTAAACTGTTAGGTGATATTTTTCCAGCAGAGAGAGAGAGAGAGAGAGAGAGAGAGAGAGAACATCTAACAATAAAATTGCTCATGCCTTTGTTATCAATGTTGGAATATTTTACACACACACACACACACACAGCTCATATAATTTAATCAAAACTCTTGCTTTGGAAAAAGTATCATTTTATGGGCGATGAATGTTGCCCTGCTCGTTAAAAGAGCTACTTACTGAATAACAGTCCATAGAAATAATTGACGAATATTTTTCGCATTTGCTAACAAAGCTTTCCAACGGATTTACGTTCCGTCAGCAGCTATTATCCTGATTACGAAATGTCTAAAACATCGGCAAAGCTCTTTTATCCTTTGGTAATAGCTAACGCGAATGATCGCCTCGTTTTACGAGAACTGTATCTTTCGAAAAGTTTCTTTTGAAGTCTCCACCGCTCTCGTATACGCGCTCCCTTATGTACATATACATTGAGAAATTCAATATCATCCGCGGCGTGGGACTTGTATATTTTGTTTTGCTCGGGATGACACCGCCCGAAAAAATATACAATCCGTAGTTTTTAATTTCATAAGAATGACTTGCCGCGCTGATGAAACGTTACTTTCGGTAGCTTTGCCAGATTTTCAAAAACCGTGTATGTAGAAGGGTCAAAATTTATATTTTTTGCAGCAAAAGTATATTTTTAAGTTGTAATAGAGCCTTGTAAGAAATACATGAGTTTTGAATGGAATGATTAAAATAAATAGAAAATATAGCAATAGAAAGAGAAATGGATGTAAATCTTTTTTAGATCAATCTCTATTTACGAAGATTAAAATATTGAAACTTTGCGGAATAAATTTGATTTGATTTTATTCTTTTATGCAAAGCTTATTAAAATTTTAAAATTAAACAATATAGAAAACCTATAAATTATATAGAATCCCAAGTCAAAACTTTAAAAACTGAAGCTCATTATCAGTTGACACATAAATGCAAAGGATTAAAAATGAATATTTATTTTAAAAAGAATATTTTTATTATATACATTTTGGATAAA